CTTCCCATCCTTCCCATGATGAAGACACACACTGCTGCCTTTCTAGCCAGGTCCCTAGGGTGTGCAGTTATTTGTCTGGTGCCTGGGGTGGCTGTTGGCAGGTGCCTTCTTTGCAGGACACGCAGGATTCCCATGCCTGGTGCTGGCTGGGTGGTGTACACTGCCCTGACCCTTGGCTCTCCCTCTCCAGCTGGTGTCCAAGCTCATGCTGAAGGTGGTGAGACACAGTGTGCCCTTCCAGCCCTGACAGCCTCACACAAACTGGAGGAAGCAGCTCCCATGCAAATCTGTGTAGGTGTGGGGAGCCTGAGGGTTGAAACACCCTGGCAAGCAAATACCCAGTCACAGAGGCTGTCAAGACTGTTTCATGGCTAGATTAACATAGGTTGGAGGCATCAGTCTAGAAGGTGCTTCCAAACTGCTGGAGTCTCAGTAAAGATTCCCTGCGTGGCTGCTGGAGGAGCCTGCATTCCCATAGTGTGCCTGAGGAAAAGCCTGCCTCTGGGATCCACTGCAGTCCTACAGTATGAAAGCACTCCAGACTTTGGAAAGCCACCCTTTTGCTCCTCTCTGGGCTTTGGTAAGGTAAGGGGGACACCATCAAGTTTTCCTGGCACTGTCAGTCCTCCATACCTTGGAGCCTGTTCATTAGGCTTGGGATTTTCATTTCTCTTGTCTGGAGCAAGTGTCACGGGCTTGACAAAGCTTTTGGCAGCCTTTTTTTTCCTTAAAGTTCAGCACATCACTCTGGGGGCCAATTGAGACTTGGCATAAGCTGAGACTAGATGACCTAATAGGTCTTTTCCATCTCCAGTGCCTGTGAGTCTGTTTTGTATTATATTTCAGATGGCTCAGCTATTGCTCATGCCTGCATCTGTTCCATGATTTATCCCTCTCAGCTTTTTCAGTGGTCAACTTTTTATGTGACAGGAGATGTTTAGTGACACCAGAGTGCCTACATCAAGGCACATCCTTTCTGTCACCTTATTTCTGCTCAACAGACCCAGGGCAGTCTGGATTAGGACCTTTTACTGTTACACCAGTGAAAATGAGCAGGTTCTTACAGCTGAGGAGACAGGAGCCCATAATTTCTGGATTTTTTTGGAGTTAAACCATCTCTGAGAAATGGTGCTGTGAGTGGAAAAGTGATGACTGACCAGCACCCCAGAAACCTCTGTCCTTGGAGTGAACTCCTTCAGAATAGGACTTCACACCGATTTTTATTCCTTCCTGCATGACTGAAAGATGTTGCTATTAATAATTTTTTTAAGCTTTGTTTGCATCCAATTCCACCTACAAAAATGAGGCATCTGAGCAACCTGCCAAAGTTGCATGTGCAGAAATACTGTGGGTAAGAAGGCAGTAATAAGGCTTGTGCTATAAATATTGGCTGTGGGTTCTTCTGGGAAAAAAAAACGTTCAAAAGAGAAGAAATGTGAAAAATCCTTTTGAGTCTGATTGTGGAATGTAATTAAGTGAGATAATGAGCAGCAGCCAAGGCAGCACTCACCCCACTGCTTCTAAAAAGTGTCGAGTTAACTTTGGCCAGGACACATTTGGCAAGGGCAGGAGAAAGACAGATGTAATGTCTGATCAGAAGTTGCCTTTCTCCTTTTTCTATAATCTATCACTTCTGGAAGGGAATGTGTTGTGCTGGGCTTTAGCCAAAATCATGGAGGAGTTTTCAGTTAAAGTCTGTTTTCTCCCAGGAAGCAAAAATTAAATCCTGCCTGTTGTTGCTCAGAAAACTGGGGTGAATCAGCATGTGAAGGGAGCCGCCCTGGCAGGCAGCTGTTTCCTCTCTTTGGAGTCCCTCTGTTATAAATAACCTGCCCAGCCTGTGTTTCTGGGGTTTCTGGTCAAAACTCATGGTCAGGAGAATACAAAAGTGTTTGGATTTAGGGATCACTGCAAATATGATTCAGATGTATGGATTGTGGGTTCCCTCCCCCTGCCACCCCCCAATATTCCTGGTGTGTTTGTCCTTTATACTAATTAAAAAGGGTTTGCAGCTTGAGGGGACAATAATTTCCTTTATTATCAATAGAATATGTAGAAGTTTTGCACCTTTCTTGAGTAGAGTTTGGATAAAGCATGTTTAGAACCTTTAAAGTGAGCTTAAGTCAGTAAGGACCTGACTGGTCATGGCTTAAAAAATACTCTAGCACAACTGGGTGTGTACCCTGAGATTCTGTGGATCACTCTGGCTCTGAAAATGAAGTCACTGATCAATCTGCACACAGAAATCCTTCTGGTTGGGTTATTGATTCATCTGGGCAGCTCCAACCCTTAGTGCTTTACAAGTTGGCTTTCGTGATGCCTCAGGATTTGGGGAGGGGATCAAATCCTTTTAGGGTTTTAAGCCACGAGGTGGTGTGATTAGGGGCTTCATCCCCACGGTCTGTCCTGTCTCCTTACTGAGCTCCACTTCTCACTGTCTTCCAGGGTGAGTGCTCTCTGGTGGGTGTGCTGTGGTGCCAAGTCCAGCAAGTAGAGGAGGGGTGGCAGGGACTCCCCAGCTTTGAGGTGCCAGCCCCTACGAGGGGTCCCAGTGCCCCCCACAGAGCACAGGGGCCCAAAGATGTGGGGTCTTCATCTGGCAAGGCCAGAGACCTTTCCTAAGGAGCTTCCACCAGCCGTGCCCCTGCGTGGGCTTCACTCACTGGCAAACTTCAAGCTGGACTGTCTGGCGATAGAAGAGAAAGTGTGGGAGCCAGTGACCAGGCACCACAGGACTGGAGGAGGGACCACAGGTCCCAGCTGGCATCTGAAGAGGCATGGGGGTCTGAGAGCTGCTGCTGGGGGAGCACAGGTCAGGACCTGCTGCCAGTGGGGCAGGTGGGGAGGGTGTGATGAGGCTGCAGCTCCTGTGCTGCGAGGTCTGGCAGCTCTTAACCTCGGCCGTGCCTGCATTTGAGCCCCTTTCCTGGCTGAGTTTGAGTCATAGACACTTCAAAATTGCTTCTCACCATTCAGCATGTGACCCTTCTCCTGTCAAAATTAACGACTGTGTAACTTTGCTCCCAGGAAGAAAAAGATGACTGTGAATTTGCACACTCAGTACTGAGGTGCTACTATCTAATCTGGGCCAGTATCTCAAAAGCTCCATCAAAATCTTCCCTCCAAACTGTCTGATCTTTACCAACAGCTTTGTAATTAAGTCTTCAGTGGGTTGCATCAAAGAACATTGTGTGCAGCTTTGAAATGCCATGATTTATTACCTAGGCATGGGGTGTAAAATATTATAACGGGCATATTTGCTGATTTCAAAGCTCTTTGGCTTTGATCAATGAATATGATGAATGAAGGGGTCAGTTAAATTAGTTAAATGACATAAATGTGCATATAGAAAGATAACATTGAGGGGAGGGTTCTACATGTGGAACAGATCAGCCAAAAAATGTTCTTTGCAGAAGAACAAGGCAACAGATACAGAAGAGTCAATAATAAAATATGGTGGTGTAGAATAACACAATCTACTGATGGTCCTTGATAGAGATAATTGCACATACAGAGAGGAATGTAGTTCCCTGGCTACAGGGCTGCACAATTAAATTTTCACCATTCACTTTTCTAGTCTGTTCCTTATGCCACTGAATATTTGCTGTATTTTCACAGGGTGATTATGTAGCCTTCACTGTTCCAGTAAAATGAAGAATAGATGTTTCAAATGACAAATGTGTCAAGACAAAAGATGGTTCTTGTAAAAGGTGCAGCTTCAAGGGTTACTGGGGAACTGACCTTGGGTGGGACACATTTACAGTACACAAAATGTGACCTTATTGACTTCAGTAAATAATTAGTATTGTTGACTACATTCCCATTTTTAA